GGCAATTTTAAAACAAGGCTTCAAATTCTTTGGCATTCCTTCCTTTAGGAAGCAGGCTTGTGAATGGTTCAACAGAGCATGACAGAAGTGGTGCTGTAGGACTTTCAAGGTTAGGTAATAAAAGACCATGTAGTTTCTCACTCATATGTGAGAAACTGACCTAGAATTCATGAGCATAATACAATGGTGGTCGTCTGATGCCATTAAGTTTGGGGTGGTTTGTTATACAGCGATAGATTTCCAGAACAATAATGGATAAGGGCCAGATAAAAATAGTAATTACCTTTGGAATGAAAGTTAAGTTTTTAGTTGTTTTTATTATTATTATTATTATTTGGTCTATTGAAAAAAGTATGTGGTGTGTGAACTTTATTCTGCCAGGTTCATCTTGGACGCTAGTGTCCATCCAGATTAACTCACTAGACTCTAGATTCTCATTAATGCCAAGAAGTATTATTTTGATGAACCACTTGAGATTTCATGCTCAAAATTCTAGGTTCTTCATATATTTCCATGCTAATCAGCTGAAAGAGCTAGCAATTTTGCACTAGCTAAAGCCAACCTTGTCATGAAATTACAGGAAAATATATAATGTGGGGTTGATATCATAGTGAGATATTAAATTTTGTGATGCTGCCAATTTTCTTCTCTTATTTTTTCTGTTGTTTTTAAAAGTGAGAATGGGTGGGACTAGAAATACCAGCCAGAGGTCCTCATTTCAGAATCAACTGTCTATTAAAAATCTGGATGTTCTTAGAGTTGGAAGAACATTAGAAACCTATTCATAAAGCTCCTGATTCTGCAGTCAGAGAGGGGAAGCAGCATACCCAAGGTCTCAGGCTGGACTGCAGGCTCCTGACTTTTGGCTTCTAGTACGGTGCTCGTGCCTCTCAATAAGTTGTTCTTAGTTCAAAGTCTGGTTCAAAGGTAAATTTCTAGGGTGCTGATATAGGCTCTGTGAACCAGCTGACATGGTGCACACCATTTTGCTTATATGTGCTTTTGTGTCCATTTCCAGAGAGAATCCACTCCTTGCATTTGATTTTTACAGAGATCTGTGACTCAGAAAAGTTTAAGTACCATTGCACTTCATGAAGTAATAATACTGTCATGAAAAACTATCACAATAAGGTAAATCTTACACTCATTCATACCTATGTGAGAGGACATCAAATGCTTCTGGGGAAATTCATTAGTTGTTGAGGATTAGTGTATGGTGGGTGCACCTCTCAGATGGTTAGGGGCAGTTGGAGCCTTCAGCAACCAATTTATCCTACTGTCTGTTTAGAAAACTTGGCAAGCAATCACACGTTAAAATCACTTTGGTGATTCAAAAGCAACAAATAATACAGGACTAATAAGGTATTATTTTGCCTTGCAGCCATTGCATTCTTAAAGCAGGGAGAGCTGGAATTTCTGTAGATAAACCCTGAAAGCTCCTAGGCTTAACGTAATAGAAATTTATTTTTATTTCATATAACCATGCAATGTAGGTCTTCATCAGCCTTTCAAATGATGTTTCAGAAGTGTGGGCTTCTTTTATCTTGAGGCTACACCATCTTCTTGGGTATTGAATTCCTTGACTTCTAGCCAGTAGATAGGAAAAGAGGGAGAGTTGAGGACTAGTTAGGAAGTTTTTATGGAAGTTGGTTGAATTGCTCATTTCTAACCACATCCCACTGGCCAGAAATAAGTCCCATGGCCCTATCTAGGTAGTGCTTGTGGGGCCTCCTACCAACAACTCTATACTATGAAAAAGGAGCACAAACCTTCTTTGGGCAACTGGTCCTCTGCCAGAGTGAGTATTATAATAATCCCAAATCTCAGAGATAGATGAAGTGTCTGAGATGGAATTTTCAGATGGTCCATGTAGTCTGGATATAGATTACAATTTTCATTTACCCAACACCTTAGGAATCAGGGTAATTCTCAGAATCTGTGAAGTCAGGATTGAAAAATACTGTAACTAAGAAAATTACAATTCTTTGGTAATTGGAGATTTTATTTTATTTTTAAAGGAGAGACACAGAAGGTAAGGGCCCAATCTGGATTTTGAGCTGGTTTATATTATAATTTGTATAACTGTAGCAAAGAGCACTTTGTTTCCATTTTTGCATAACTATTGTTACAGGTTTAGCTTTTTTATTGCATGTTCACTGTTGACAATGTTTTCATGTTTGGCAGAAATTACAACAGAACATGCCTTTACTCTGTGGTTTTTGTTTTCACTGTGTTGCTTAATTATTTCTTCATTATTTTTTCTTGTTTTATACAAGCTTAACCTTTCTCCTCAAGTTATAATTTTTATTCTGGAACTGGGAGTAGTTATGGTATGGAATTATTAAGAATTGTATTCCTGGCTTTTAAAAAGATGATTTTGATGCCACCTGGTATCAGAATGTATTTCATCTCCCACTTCCTACAGAGAAACTCTGACAAGTGACTTACTTTCTGTTTTCTTGTCTATTAGATTTTATTGGTCCAGTGAACTCCAGCAATCTTGGAAGTAATGTTGAGGACCAAGCAGATTTTTTCTTTGTGGAGGTTGAAATCTCATGAGATCCACCAATGCTGTGTTGGTACTGGATTGTAGTGACCCATAAAAACTGGAAAAAACCCAGCATACTGACTCCAGATTGATTAGAAACCTGTTCTAATAACTAATGCTACAAATTACATATACTAACTCACAAATAATTATATTAAAAACTCATAATTTCCTAATTTCTTGTTATACTTTACTATTATCTAAGCTCTTGAGGTTGTTACATATATTGTGTCTGTGTGGTAGAAAATACCATACAATGGGGGTGCTATTGTGTTTCTCTTCCCAAGTCTGCATTCAGGCATGCCACTTGGGTAGCTTGGTATTGACCATGGAGGGTGCAGGTTTTTAAATTTTCAGCAGCCCATTGGACTCACCATTTACAACATCTTCATTTGGTATTGCTGAGGCTTGAATGAGACAAGTAGTGCCAGGAACGTCATAGATGCTCAATAAAGGACAGCTGCCTTTAAGGTCATTCCTTCAGAAAACCTTTGCCATCTCCAGAGAGTAAAAATGATAGTGTTACCAGATGATTGCAGTCCAGTCTCTCTAGAGGGGCACAGGATCTCTTTCTGTTCCTCTATTTATAAAGGTTCGGTAATACTTGACTTCATCCCTTCCCAGGGATATGCTAGGGGGGGAAATATCCTAACTGATGTGAGAGCATTTTGAATAGTTAGGAAGCATAGTTCTCAAATTGGAGGTTGAGAAACAGCTTTGTACAGGGCTGCTGATTTGTGCCAGTGATGACTTTGAGAAGAAAATATTTTTTTCAGATGCCTGGTCCAGAGCTGGAGCATTAACTCCCCTGCACTGGTCTTTGGACATGTGCCCTAAGGTCCACCTGTAAGATTTCTTGGGCCACTGGCAAATATAATAAGAGCAGCATAACACGAGGTGTGCAAAAGATTGCCTGCTTATATTATCCTGGATAGGACTGTCTTTTGTTGTGGGTCGTGAGTGTTCTGACAGCTTTTACATTAACATGTTCTATCTTTTTGAAGTGACAGTCATAGTAGATGATAGTGGTAGAGGTAGAGTTAATTTTAAATGCCTTTATTTGCAGAAAGCTAGAAATGATATTGGTCCCCTTTTATAACTCCTTTTTTAAAAAAAAGTAAATGGGCTGGGTACAGTGGCTCACACCTGTAATCCCAGCACTTTGGGAGGACGAGGTGGGTGGATCACCTGAGGTCAGGAGTTTGAGACCAGCCTGGCTAACATGGTGAAACCCCATCTCTACTAAAGATACAAAATTAGCTGGATGTGGTGGCGCACAACTATAATCCCACCTACTTGGGAGTCTGAGGCAAGAGAATCTCTTGAACCCGAGAGGCAGAGGTTGCAGTGAGCCAAGATCGTGCCATTGCACTCCAGCCTGGGCAATAAGAGTGAAACTCCATCCCTCCTCCCCAAAAAAGTAAATGTTTGTGATCCAGTGGTTCTGAAAGTCTGGAACTACCCCTTGTTGACTCTAAACTGATTTTTGTGGAAGCAGAAGTATTGACAGAATTATTCCATAGGTGACCTGAATCAGCGGCATGGGTATGTGTGAGCAATTTTATTTACCCCTGCCATTGCCTGCTCTCCTAAAACTGTTGATAGTTAAGAAAATCAAAGTGTGATTTGAACACACATCGTTCTTGTCTCTTCTATTCTGCTAAAAAAACTTTTCAGTCTCAACAGAACTGTTACTTTGAGGAGAAGCATATAAAAAGTGACGCTTCAAGATAAAAATTTTAATTATGCTGTTTGTTTTTTACCTAAAGAAGTGTTCCTCCAGGAGTTTTTGGGTCCACTTCTGGCTTTAACAATTTTTTTCCCCCCTCTAACACTGTTGAAACTAATGCCAATTTTAATTTCTCGGCATCATGATACATAAATATATCACTCACAGATGTGATTTTAAACAAGGACTGAAACTGTAAATTTGGAAGCAAGAGATTCACAGGGTTTCATCAGATCATTCTCAAAAGTGACACATTTGTACTGAAATGGTTTTAAATTGCTCATTTCAAACCTACCTCGGTAGCAAAATGCCATGCGTGTGGCGGATTTGCAGCCACATTAGTCATTTTCTTTTCCTCTGTTTCCTTGCTGTGTTTTATTGGGAGCACAGAGTAATGTAATTTAGTAAATTATGATTTGATGTCTGGGCATCAGCCCCAGTGTTGAACAGTATTTGGACTATGATTACTTGCTGGCTTTGTCACAGTTGACATTAATTATTGATGGAAGTTTCAGAAATAGCGCATGTGCCAGGAGCTTTTCACCGGAACGCAGGCTCCAGGGAGGAGGGATGCTAAAGAGTGTGGGGGAAGAGGCACCTGTGGCTTGTTTATGTCTGTGCACAGAGAACCTGGACGCAGCAGCCTGTATAGTACCTGTGTAAAGGTCATGCTATAACGGAAGGATGAACCGTCAGGCTTATTTCTATCGTGTTCCTCCCCAGGAATTGCACCGAAGAAGCCAACTTCAGCCAGAGCCAGCCAAGACGAAGGCTCTCCAGACTGTCATTGAAATGAAGGTAGGAACTGTGCACTTTTGTCAGAAACAGTTATGCCTTGGGAGTTTGTTCTAACTTGATGGTGCCTAATATAAACGTGAAATGATCTTTGTGTTTTTCTCTAGGCACCCTGCTGGGTGCTTGAGCTCTGGATTATTTTTCTTCCTGGGCACATTTAATTTATTGGCCCTTTAACTAGGATGCCTTTTCTAGGCTAAAGAATAAAGGGCTCAAGTATCCATTGGTTGAAAGGAGCTGGGTTCCTTGCAGAGCATGTCTAATCCTAGGGAGGTTTTGTGTGTGTTTTAAAAGTAAAATTTTTAAGCTATAATAATTCTTTTCCTCCTATTCACATCATGATGAAAAGACACCTTTGAAAAATTAAGAGTTGGCAAAGGAAAGTTATTTTACATGGAGTGGTATTGTTAAATAATTAAAATTAAGCTATCAGCAAAATTTACTTTTCAAAAAATAATACTGTCTTGTGACACCAGTATTTTCTCCTAACCAAGACTGGAAGTAACAACACTTTACTAAATACTTGCAGAGTATCCTATTTAGTTGTGCAGGCATAGAGATACACTATTTAAAGGAATAGAGAAATCATTCTGAGAGGATTTAGGGCATTTAAGGAGTCATGAAGTAAATGAGCATGGCCAAGCCATGATCTATGATTAAGAAACTGATCTAAATGAAACTCAATTTCTTTGCTAGTATCTAGAAATTTGAAATCTTTTTATTTACAATTTTTGCCAGAAGGATGCAAATAGTAAAGTATTCATCTCTATAATAAATAATTCTTAATTTAATGTGTTCCATTAAGAAACAAAAAATTTATATCCAAGATGTTTGCAATCTGAAAATTTCACACTCAAGTTTAACACTCAGGGAGTTTGCTGGTCACCATGGGCCGGCAAGAGAATTCTAAAGCTTGCTGATAGAATAATGAGTCTTCTCTCCTTCTTGCAGCATATGATTTTGAATTATCTGTCCCCAAATTCCCAAGTTTTGAAGGAAAAGAAACTAGTATGAGCTCTTGAATTCTTGGCATGTACAATTCTGAGTAGGGATTGTTTTTTTCTATTCAATGTCAATTTCTTCATTCAAGTGGATTTTTGTGAAACTAATATAGGTCATTTGCTTTAAAACTATGTGTCCCTCAAATGAGGTTACATGAGTCAAGGCACTCATAATGTATTTGTAGCATATAGGTTTGAAAAATATCATTGAAGGAACCAAATGTCAATAGGATTAAAATATAATTATACTCTGGCTCATCAGTTGTTTTAAACGTATGTAATTTAAACATTTTGAAAAGAAACTGAACAGTCTACACTGGGGTACAGTAGGCCGGTAGTTCATAATTAAGAGTTTAATCCTCACTTCACATTGGAACCAAACCTGATACTTGGTCAAGGCTTAAAAAAAAAAAAAAAAAAAAAAAAAAGAGGAAAAATGAAAGACAAAAGGACAAAAGAGTTGATTTTTCTTTTTGCAAAGGGTGACTCAGTCCCCCTTCCACCCACCTCCACACCCACCTTCCCAGTCAGCGCAAATAGTAATGGAGAAGAGGATGTATGGTTTCCAAATCATAGTTTAAGAAAAAACAAAAAAGAGTGCGTTCCCAAGGCCTTTGGAAAAAACAGGAGAAACATCTCTGTTAATATAGTGGGTAGTTTCCTGGTAAATGTCTCCATACAAAGACAATTGGTACCTTTCTTCTGACTTTTGAAAGTAGAAAATCTGTTTGATCCTAGTTTGCTGTTTCTATCACTATATTTTATTATAAAACAAAAAATTATAAATAAAAAACTTACTTTGGCCTTCTACATGAGAAAGCAGAGAAACTTGAATTCTAGGGCAAATTTATATCCATATATTATTAGTAAATTGAGCCTAGAGTTCTCCTTTTATGAATGCCAATGTTGCTGATTTGTAGGCATAAGGCATTTGTATTTGTAGGACAAATGAAGATCAATATATTTTTCAGGAAACTGATCCTCAAGTTTTTCTGTTGTCTTTTTGGATGCCTGTTAACTTACAGAAGCACTGCCTTCTGTCTTGTCAACAAAGAAGTCTGGGTCCCATTAGCATCTATCCTCAACATACCTAAATTGAGTTATGGAGGCAGCTGGTGGAGGGTCATCTCAGCCATGTGGATAGCTCATGCTGGAGGCTGTGATCTCATCTGATTTTGTACATTACACCCCTATGAAATTGGTGGGGATATTAGAAATTCATATTGTACAGGCTTTAGAGTTGACTATCAAGTCGAACTGACCCTTAAGCCTAGTGAGTAGAACTTGAGACCCTGTTGTATTTTAGTACTGGTTAAACATCAGTCTCATCTAGTGCCTTGATATAATTTAAAATTAAGAAGAGATTTCTTAGTCTAAATTGACCCTGTAGTTTTAGGGAGATTAGATGAATTAGGCTGAGGGATTATCCCTATGTGTTTCTTGCATCTTAGAGGTACTAAGGGTGAGCTTCAGAATCCCCCATTGTCCCCACATAGACACTTTGCATAAACTTGCAAAAGACATTTGTTGTGAAAATCTGAAATTTTGCCTAACTTCAAGCACTATTTAGAACCACAGTCTGGTAGTTTTAGATGTTTGTGTACCTGCTCTGGACTTTGGAGTTGTGAAAATATGTTTCTCTGGGATGAACTTTGGGGAATATCATCTGTCTGCACCAAACTGGGGCCAGTTCACTTGAAGACATCACATCCACTGCCAGCCAATTGAGCCTGGGGGCTGAAGTCACCTGAATGAACATGAAAATGAAAGGAAGCAAAGTGTATAAAGTTGCTTGTGATTTATCTTCTTGCAGGAAGCTTCAGGTTTTAATTTTGATCCTGATTTGGTCTGGCAGGTATGTTCCAAGTTTGCACTTAGAACATTGTGTGTATTTCTTGGAAAATTAGTTTCTTGTAGGTATTGCAGTGCTCCTCCTTCTCTTGCTTTTGTGTCTAAAGATTCTTTACTAAGCTCCTCTTTTCTGCTTTTGTGGGTAACTGTCAATAAGAATGGCAGTTGAAAGGCTTGTTTTCTCTTTTCCCTTTCTTTAATGCTAATTCCTTTGAAAGAATGTGTAACTTATTTTTATTATAAATTTGATGTGGCATAAACATGATGTCCAACAGTTTTACTTTCTTGGGTCATTCATAAAGCCTTTTTTTTTTTTTTAAGAAAATGAATGACAGTAATGGCAGTTTTTGTCAAATAATCTCAAACCCCTTTTTCATTGTTAGCTAAAACTTTTAAGTGAAGGAAAATCTATTTCAAAGTGGCTAAAGGCAAAAGGAACTTTATTGGAAAAAAATTTACTGGAAAAAAACAGGGGTATTGCTTCAGGCACAGCTTGATTCAGAGACTCAAAAGATATTAGCATATCCCATTTTCTCTCATTCCATCTCTTATCTTGTCTTCCTTCTCTGCCTTCCCCAAAAAATCAAGATGAGAGAGTGGGAGAGAGGGTTTGGATTGCCCTTCCTGTTGCCTATTGCTTATCTTGTCTTCCTTCATGTGAGCTCTATTTTCAGGCAACCTCTTCCTGCCTGTCTGAGCAAATGGCTACAGAAACTCCAAAAATCACAAATGGAAGGGCAGGGAGAATGTTGTGTTTTTTGAAAAATATAAAAACTCAACCCTTAGAGTAATAATAATTACTGAGATGACACAGAAAACTTCACTCCAAACAGCAGCTGAGATGGAAAAGAAACTACATGGAGTTCTCTAGATCTCATTTGCTTAATACATTAAATGATATTCTTGGGAAAAACAAACGTTTTGCTAGTATAGCAGAAACTATCAGATTTTCAGCAGAATTTATCAAAGACATATATATGAGTGACATAAGGGTTTTAGTAAAAGTTCCAGAAAATGTACTTGATTTGGTTAATTTGTTAACTAAAGTGGATTAAGAAGCCAGAGGCATTATGTGACTATGGAGCAGTGTTTCTGTGGTAATTGAAGTGAGGATTGTGCGTATGTAGCTTTCCAGTCCCATGGCCAGCGAGGGCACTTGTGTACCTTGAGTTGTTCCTCTTGAGTGACATTTGTCCCCACCAGGCTTTTTTTCTTATTGGAACTAAGTAGTAAACAAAGCAAGACTGAGATCCACTAAGTTGCTGAAGTTTAAGTGGTACTAATGGTCAAAGAAGATGATTTTGCATTCAGGTGCAACTTTAATGCAGAGGTTAATTTTTCGTTATAAAAATAAGACTTCACTTTGTCTTTGTGTGGCAGATAACTGTTGTTCTTCACAGAGCTGACCTGCAGTTGGGTTAGGTTTTACTTAAAATGTGTCTTGGTATTTGGTCAAATTTAGCCTTTTGAGTTCCACAAAATATGAAAGGGATGCACTGGAACATGGTGAAGTCAAGAGCTACTACTTGGCAACTTTCTCAAGTTTCCCATAACTAGGAAGGGGAGACAGTTCAAAGGCAAACCTAGACTACTGAACACAACCCAGTACCCATTGTGAATTTGTGTGAATCCTGGAATTTGGTCAGAGACACTATGAAGTATATGAAGTAGCTGCCACTTCTTTGACTCCAGGGTCTACCTAGGTTTGTTTCATTCGTCTTTGGGATGGTTACTTGTTTGGATTTTACTTAGAATTATTTATTCTCCCAGGATGCTGTGTTCATAGGAAATTTGTGCCAATCCCAGTTTTTCTAGTCGAGCTATTATGATGATGGCTTTTAGGCCTTGAGAATATGCCCCTTCTCCTTTTGTGGCTGTTAAAAACAGTAACAGCACTAACAACAATGCCACCTGCACCACCAGTAACACCCTGTGACAGGAACATCACTACCACACATGAGGGCTCCAGCATTTGATGTGCAATAAACCTGTGAATAGGCATAGTTATCTACATTTTACAGATGAGAAAGCTATGGTTTAGAAAGGATAAGCAAACTGCCCACGGTCCTGCAGCTAGTTGATTGGCAGCTGAGATTTGAACACAAGTTTCTCCCCAAAGCTCTTGCACTGTCTACTCCTCCTTTCTACCTT